AGAAACCCACCACGATCGAGGCTGGTATGGCACTGATATTAGTCTTTACCACATTTCATTATCTGTATTTTTGAGTTGCCTGTTGTATGTTAATTGATGTGGGCAGTGTAGTTCTTATATGTGCATCCCTGTAGTAATCTCAATTGTAAAGATACAGAAGATCCAAATAATCTTCCTGGGAAGAGCAGACTTATAAAAGAAACAAAATGAGTGGTTTTTCCATAGCATTTTCCTCCCAGCCAATGCCTTCTCTCGTCAAGCCATAGAGGCTAAACCACCCCACTGGGAAACACACTGACAAAAACATGTCACACACTTCAGCATTTTGATTGATGGCCTTTAGCTTGTGCACATTCACCATCTCTGTCTGTTTCGATGAGCTTATGCAGCATCACTATGTTAATTTTCATCCAGATTTGCTTTAATGTTTCACTGACATCAGAGAACTTTCACAATTGGAGCCTTATGAACCTTGGCATTGTGGTCCTGGAGTACACCCAGGCCATCAGGGAAGAAAACATTCATTGCTGGGATAACCTGGTTATTCAGTAGATTCAGGTACTCAGCTGACTTCACTTTATTGCTGCAAACAAATTAATCACTGCAATAATGAATTACTCACTGGCTCTTAACTATTTAAAATTCAAGCAGTGACTTAATTTTTTCCAGGCCGTGTACATGGTATGATGGCAGAAGTCCTTGCTCTATGGTCAGGTAAAAATTCACACAGTGCAATAAATCCATTTAGAATTCATGACATTCTGCAGGCAGAGCTGAGCGTATCGATTGGCTAACATTCCCACAGTGCCTCTTCAGGAGTCCTTTTAGACACCATGTTCTGAGGTTTCCAATTAGCACCATGAAGGCGTACAATGGTGTTCATGGGTATTATGGTCTGCAACCAAGTAACAATTATTTAAGGCTTTTTCTAGATTTTATGTGTCTGCAGTGTTTGAACATTTTTAAAATATACATCGGGGTGCAACTTTTGCCCCCACTGTCTAAAAATGGGGGCATTTGCAATATTTGGGGTCAATTTTTTTAAATTGTACTTAGAGCATAAGGTTTATGTTTTATGAGCGAAGAGCCCAGATTAAAATGCATACAGTAATCAGCACCTCGTGCCAACATGCGGAAATAAGAATAATATTCCTATCAGGGGGATTTTGGGCCCCATGAAGCCATATCATATTGGGCCCCCAGTCCAGACCAATGCAGTTATTTTCCATATTTTCTAGGCCCCCTGTCACTCAGGGGCCCCTGGAAGCGTCCTAACTTACCCCACCTTATGGTGCCCTGATTGCTGTTCCAAAGAGAAGTGTGCAGTCATCTGTATGTGTATAGAGAACCATCTGAATGTGAGAGGCAGCAGGTTCTAACTATTTAGGCTCTTATTTGCCTCTTAATAACCTTCAGATATGTATAATGCATTAGTTCATAGATAAAGTGAAAACTTCATCACAGTCTTTCAAATGAACTAGTTTACCATCTTTTTAAATGCCCTTTAGAAACTGTACAAAGTCTACTATGATATTTGGTAAAATAAAAGGCAGCGTTTTCCAGCTGTAAATACAAACCACCTTAAAAACAACATTATCAGAACCAAATTCAAGCAACAACACTGCCCTGCAATGGACCGACATGCTGTTAATAGTTTACCTCACTTTACACTGTGTGCTTACTGCTCTAATGATGAATAGTTATACTTAAAAAAGTGACAATAAAGGAACGACTTACTGAAATGCTAAACATTCAACCTTGTGGTTTTGTCACTTCCTGTTTAAGGTGTCCACTCCCCCTTCACTCTGCCTGCTGTGTCTGAGAATAGAAACGACAGAGACAGTGAAGTTACAGAGGATGAGGCAGTGAGTGTCCGGGTGTACTACTCACAGCAGGCGATCTGTACCCTGCCTGAGCATGTTTGGCCCCTAAAGTGCAGTTCATTTGAAAAATGGGAATTCAGTCAATTGTTTTTCCTGCAGGTGCTGACAGTGTGTCCACAGTGAGCTGGGTGTCAGTACTGAGTGGAGGATCTGTCACCATCCCATGTTTCTATGGTGACAGATATGAAACACATGTGAAATACTGGTGCAAACAGTATAATGTGAGTTCATGTACTCCCATAGTACACACTGACTCTCCACAGGAGGGTAAAGTGTCAATCAGAGATGATCCTGACCAGCGAGTCTTCACTGTGACCATCAACAATCTGACAGCTGGGGACTCTGGTTATAACTCATGTGGTGTGAAGATCTTTGGAGATGTAGATGTTGGAGATTGGGTTTACCTTTCAATTACTGATGGTAAGATATCTGTACAGATGTATGATCATTGTTTTCAGGCATATATGTCTTGTAAAAAATAAATACAAATATTCATTGTATGAGCTGCAATGACAATGACATGTCATTTTAATTAAGGAAGGAATATTTTTTTAAAAAAGGGGATGAATCTGCCAATATTTTCCTTACACAGAGTCACTGGTGACATTTAAATGGGCATCTTACATTTTATTTATGTAAATGAGGGTCCAAATGTATGTCTTTTGTTCTAAGCGACTTCAGGGTGTTATATAAGTTAAGAAATGTCATTTTGTTTAGGTTTTAGTTCATTTCAAGCATAAATATGGATACAGAAATGTATACAGCACCAGTTTGGCTGATATTTACTGGAGTTTATATTACATATATGAATTAGTAAATATGAATCAGCAAACATTTCCAAGGTAATTATGAAACTCAGTTAGTAATTTCTACACAGTTTGATTCTTACAAATACAGTGATATTAAATACAACATTTAAGAAAAACAATTTTTAATATTTTTGCAAAGTGAGCAGTGAAAGATATTGTCATGGAGGACGCTGCTGTGGATCAATCAGGTGAACGAGGCTTTATTATACGGATTGTGAACCAGGAAAAAGAATCAAGACGTGGTTCTGGGCTCGTGGTCGTGAGACAGGCTGAGGTTGGGCGATCTTCGTCAGTAATCAAGGAGGGCAAGGCAGGCTCAGGTCTGGGGACATGCGGGTAATCAGGCGATCTTCGTCGTAAACTCAGAGGGCAAGGTTAGAATCATTGTCGGGAAAACACAACAGAGTCAGGGTAACAGGCAGGCAGGGTTCTAGACAGGTTGAGGGAATATGGGACAGAACTGCTCGAACTCGCAAAAATTTCCTGAAGATCTCGCGTCTGGCGAAGTACGATCTTCCATTTACCCTGATGAGCTTCAGCTGTCAGAGGGCGGTGTATCGTAACCGGTTCTCTCGGTTCCCGGAGCCAGCGGGGAGTGAGCAGTCCGGTCGCTGCTACAATCCCTTCTCGGGAAACCATGAGGGCATGAAAAAGAAGCCCTGCGTGACATCAAAGGGGATTCCTCGGAGCGGTCCATGACAGATACAGTGGACTGGTACTGATTCATTATTAATGTGTGTATAAATGGTGTAAGAGGGAGTGAGAGTTAATCAGCTTGGTAATTTTCATACTGTCCCTGTAGGTGTGTCCACAGTGAAACGGGTGTCTATACACAGAGGAGGATCTGTCACCATCCCATGTTTCTATGATGACAGATATAAAACTCGTGTGAAATACTGGTGCAGAGGGTATAATGTGAGTTCATGTACTCCCATAGTACACAGTGACTCTCCACAGGAGGGTAAATTGTCAATCAGAGATGATCCTGACCAGCGAGTCTTCACTGTGACCATCAACAATCTGACAGCTGGGGACTCTGGTAGCTACTGGTGTCATGTGGAGATCAGTGGAGGTTCAAATGTTGGAGATTAGGTTTATCTGTCAGTCACTGATGCAGAAGATCCAAATAATCTTCCTGGGAAGAGCAGACTTATAAAAGAAACAAAATGAGTGGTTTTTCCATAGCATTTTCCTCCCAGCCAATGCCTTCTCTCGTCAAGCCATAGAGGCTAAACCACCCCACCGGGTGTGGATATCCAC